ACTTGAGCTAACCTGCCCTGACTTCTCGATTGTTTCAAATAAACAAATTCACAAAGTACATTCTTAAAATAATTGAATTTCTAAAACGAAAATTAATAACAATTTTCCTTTTTTATCAACGTACAAAATTTTTATATCGAACTATTTCGTAGCAACTGAAACAACTGCAATATTTCAATTAGCGATTTTGGAAAAACGGTAGGACTTTCCGAAGAAACAAAGCCGAAAATGACTTCTGGATATCGAAATCTACAAGAAATTTCGGAAATAGTTGAAAACTGATCGAAAATTTCAAAAGTGCTAAAATCAGTCTTATTTTATCAAATACTAGCCCCGCCCACCTACCCTCTGTTTTCTTAGAGGGTATGTCATTTCCCAAAAACAGTCCTATCTTAGAAAATACTAGCCCCACCCATCCCCCTCTCCTCTTTCTGACGAGTACTTTTATTTCTGTTTAGGATAAGATCATTTGTTTTATTCAGATCGGATAAAATCAGTCACTGAAAAGGAGACAGGGTGGGTGGGCGGGGCTAATAAAGTCTTTTGTCGAGTGGGAGTGGAAAAACGGTAGGAATTTCCGAAGAATAAAAGCCGAAAATGACTTCTGGACCCCGAAATCTACAAGATATCGACTAATTTTCGGAAATAGTTGAAAAATGGTTGAAAATGTGAAAAGTGCAAAATCAGTCTTACCTTATCAAATAATAGCCCCGCCCACCCGCCCCCTTCTCATTCTTACGACTAATTTTATTTCAGTTCACTATAAGACCCTTCATTTTAATCAGATCCAATTTAATCAATCACTGAAAAGGAGACAGGGTGGGTGGGCGGAGCTAATTATTTTCTTCTGTCTAGTGGGAGTGGAAAAATGGTAGGAGGTTCCGAAGAAACGAAGCCGAAAATGAATTCTGGATATCGAAATCTACAAGATTTCCACTAATTTTCGGAAATAGTTGAAAACAGGTCGAACATGTCAAAAGTGCCAAAATGAGTCTTATCTTATCAAATACTAGCCCCGCCCACCCACCATCTTCTCATTCAAAGGAGTAATTTTATTTCACATCATTATAAGACCTAGCCCCTCCCACCTACCCTCTTTTCATTCTAACGACTAATTTTATTTCAGATCACTATAAGACCATTCGTTTTAATCAGATCCAATATAATCAATCATTGAAAAGGAGACAGGGTGGGTGGGCGGGGCTAATTATGTTCTTCTGTCGAGTGGGAGTGGAAAAACGGTAGGAATCACCAAAGAAACGAAACCAAAAATGACTTCTTGATATCGAAATCTACAAGATTTCGACTAATTTTCGGAGTTGGTTGAAAAATGTTCGAAAATGTAAAAAGTGCCAAAATCAGCTTTATCTTATCAAATACTAGCCCCGCCCACCCACCCTCTGTTTTCTTAGAAGGTATGTCATCTGCCAAAGTCTGTCCTATCTTAGCAAGTATTAGCCCCGTCTACTGCACATCTTTCAATTCTAACGACTAATTTTATTTCTTTTCACTATAAGATCAGTCATTTTATTCAAATCGGATACAATCAATCACTGAAAAGGAAACAGGGTGGGTGGGCGGGGCTAATTATTTTCTTCTGTCGAGTGGGAGTGGAAAAATGGTAGGAGGTTCCGAAGAAACGAAGCCGAAAATGAATTCTGGATATCGAAATCTACAAGATTTCCACTAATTTTCGGAAACAGTTGAAAACAGGTCGAACATGTCAAAAGTGCCAAAATGAGTCTTATCTTATCAAATACTAGCCCCTCCCACCCACCCTCTTCTCATTCTAACGACTAATTTTATTTCAGTTCACTATAAGACCATTCATTTTAATCAGATCCTATATAATCACTGAAAAGGAGACAGGGTGGGTGGGCGGGGCTAATTATGTTCTTCTGTCTAGTGGGAGTGGAAAACCGATAGGAATTTCTGAAGAAACGAATCCGAAAATGAGTTCAGGATATAGAAATCTACAAGACTTCGACCAATTTTCGGAAATAGTTGAAAAATGTTCAAAAATGTGAACAGTGTCAAAATTAGTCTTATCTTATCAAATACTAACCCCGCTCACCCACCCTCTTCTCATTCTAAAGACTAATTTTATTTTAGTTCACTATAAGATGATTCATTTTATTCAGATCAAAGAAAATCTATCACTGAAAGAAGACAGGGTGGGTGGGCGGGGCTAATAATGTCTCTGTTGAGTGGGAGTGGAAAATGGTAGGAATCTCCGAAGACACGAAGCCAAAAAAGACTTCTGGATATGGAAATCTCCAAAATTTCAACTAATTTTCGGAAATAGTTGAAAAATGGTCGAAAATGTCAAAAGTGTCAAAATCAGTCTTTCCTTGTCATATCTTAGCCCCGCCCACCCACCCTCTGTTTTCTTAAAAAGTGCATCATTTGCCAAAAACTGTCCTATTTTAGCAGATACTAGCCCCGCCCACCCCCCTCTTCTCATTCTAACGACTGATTTAATTTCTGTTCACTATAAGATCATTCATTTTATTCAAATCGAATAAAATCAATCACTGAAAAGGAGACAGGGTGGGTGGGCGGGGCTAATAATGTCTTCTGTCGAGTGGGAGTGGAAAATGGTAGGAATTTCCGAAGACACGAAGCCAAAATAGGCTTCTGGATATGGAAATCAACAAGGTTTCAACTAATTTTTGGAAATAATTGAAAAATGGTCGAAAATGTCAAAAGTGCCGAAATTAGTCTTATCTTATCATATGCTAGCCCCGCCCACCCACCCTCTGTTTTCTTAGAAGGTACATAATTTGCCAAACACTGTCCTATCTTAGCAAATACTAGTCTCGCCCACCCACCTCTCTTTTCATTCTAACGACTAATTTTATTTTTGTTCAGTATAAAATCGTTGATTTCATTCAGATTGGATAAAATCAATCACTGAAAAGAAGGCAGAATGGGTGGGTGGGGCTAATTAGCTTCTTCTGTGGAGTGGGAGTGGAATTACGGTAGGAATTTCCGAAGAAACGAAGCCAAAAATGAGTTCTGGAAGCAGAAATCTACAAGATTTCGACTAAATTTCGGAAATAGTTGAAAAATGGTCGAAAATGTTAAAAATGCCGAAAGCAGTCTTATTTTATCAAATACTAGCCCCGCCCACCCACCTTCTGTTTTCTTGGAGAATATGTTATTTGCTAAAAACTGTCCTATCGTAGCAAGTACTAGCCCCGCCTACCCTCCTCTTCTCATTCTAACTACTAGTCTTATTTCGGTTCACTATAAGATCATTCATTTTATTCAGATCCAATAAAATCAATCATTGAAAGAACGCAGGGTAAGTGGGCGGGGCTAATTAATTTCTTCTGTTGAGTGGGAGTGAAAAATGGGTAGGAATTTCCGAAGAACCGAAGCCGAAAATGAGTTCTGGATATCGGACTAATTTTCGGATATAGTTGAAAAATGATCCAAAAAGTCAAAAGTGGCAAAATCAGTCTTATCTTATCAAACACTAGGCCCGCCCACCCACCCTCTGTTTTCTTTGGGGGTATGTTATTTGCGAAAAACTGTCCTATCGTAGCAAGTACTAGCCCCGCCCACTCCCCTCTTCTAATTCTAACTACTAATTTTATTTCGGTTCACTATAAGATCGTTCATTTTATTCGGATCCAATAAAATCAATCACTGAAAAGAACGCAGGGTGGGTGGGTGGGGCTAATTAATTTCTTCTGTCGAGTCAGAGTTGAAAAACGGTAGGAATTTCCGAAGAAACGAAGCCGAAAATGAGTTCTGGATATCGGGCTAATTTTTGGAAATAGTTGAAAAATGGTCCAAAAAGTCAAAAGTGCCAAAATCAGTATTATGTTATCAAACACTAGCCCCGCCCACCCATCCTCTGTTTTTTTAGAGGGTATGTCATTTGCCAAAAACAGTCCTAGCTTAGCAAATACTGTCCCCGCCCACCCCTCCTCTTCTCTTTCTAACGAATAATTTTATTTCTGTTCAGTATAAGATCATTCATTTTATTCAGATCGGATAAAATCAATCACTGAAAAGGAGACAGGGTGGGTGGGCGGGGCTAATTATGTCCTTCAGTCGAGTGGGAATGGAAAAATGGTAGGAATTTCCGAAGAAACGACGCCGAAAATGACTTCTGGGTATCGAAATCTGCAAGGAAATATCTTCAACTAATTTTCGAAAATAGTTGAAAAATTGTCGAAAATGTCAAAAGTGCCAAATTCAGTCTTATCAGAATGTCATACAAAACTTTCGCCTGTATGTTTTAGAAAAATCCGAGTTTCAAATTTCCAAAAAATTTTCTTCCAATCCGAATTTTGGAAAATCTTAGTCCGTGACCGTCACGCTATTTTTCGACTCAGTTCGTCGGGACGTACATCCCAGAATTTTTTCTGAATTTTTAGGCGACTTTTCCAAAAAGCTTGGATTTTTAATATCGTTATGAAAATTTTTACCTTTTTTCGACCACTTTCGAAAATTACGTGAAGAGGTTTTTGTAGATTTTGGATTACAGTAGTAATTTTCGGCTCCTTTTCTTAAAAAATTTCCATAATTTTTTCAAGATCGTCAGTACGAAATATGATAATTTTTCGAATTTCTAAAAAATTGACTTTCAAACAGAATATTTGAAATGGAAAATCCTGTTCTTCGATTTCAAACTAGGCCTTATGTGAATCTTTTTTTTTCTATATGGACACCTGTCCGGTGCAAAGTAAACCCATTATTATTTATTGTCTTTTTCGGAGTTCCCAACTGTCCTTTTTTAAAGAAGGCGAAACCTTGTCGAGGGCTTGTACTACAGAAAGAGAAAATCTGGTGCTGGCAAGATAATATTCATTTTCTGTTGAAGTACTTCAAGGATCTGTCCGTGATCCAGCAATTTTCTTAGTTTATAGTCGTGACCTCCACAACTTGGAAAAGTTTCGTTCACATTCAAATTTTCAAAAGTATTATGTGTATTAAACTATAAAAAATGCTTTTGTTGGCTGGAAATTATTTATTCTTGTTTATAATTCAGCCACAGGGTCCATGTCGAAAAACACATACAAAATTAAAAAAAAACTGTACACTGGAACAATTATTTAGCACCGTCTTCGCCACCACCGTTAGCAGTAACCGCATTCAGGTTGTAGACAGCTGCAGGATTAGCGGGTTTTTGTCTGCACCATATGTCCATAGCGAACCTCAACTCTTTCAAAAATACTTCCTTGAGTCTCAGCTGAAAATAAATTTTCATAGAAATGTCCTTTTTGTTTCAAAATATACGAACATGTTGACTGACTGCGATTTTTCTCACGTGCCAAAGGAATTCGCAAACCGAGATGATCATGGCAATGCACATGCCTCCGGTGAGAACCACGAAAACCCCTCCGACGTGGGCCAAACTTAGCTCGTTGGCTGAGTCTTTGTCCTTTTTCTCCCTCTAAATAAAAATAAATCAACGAATTAATTTATTAAAATAATTACCAAACACAGAATCAAAAGGCATGCAACCCCGACTCGGTCGAATTTTGTGCTCTTCTTAAAAATTTACACCCGACTTTGTTCCAAACTACCCACATTCCAGCTCGCGACAATCGGGGCTCGTATCAGTTCTCGAAAACTGCCCTCTCCAGTCCCGTTCCGCTCAAACTCTTCGCAAAAATGTTAACTTTACCTCGCAAGTGTTAGCTTTATTCCTCTCCTTCCACCACTTCTTCTTGAGCCGCTGCAGCGTTCCCATTTCTTGCATCTTTAATATCGCCTGATTTATGGAAGTCCTGTAGGGAGCATCTGCAACAGAACCCTCTTTTTGCCAACTCCACTCGTGGAATTAGCGCGAATGCGTTTTCCACGATTTATTAGGTAATTGAGCGCAAGACATTAAGTGTGGTTCCTTAACAAAGAAACCATAAACCGTCGGAACTATTGAAGAGTTACCTCAACTATCGTAAAAGAACCGCGGGGGTCCAATTGTTTCGTATGCAAAGAACCACCGACGGATGCTTTTCATGCCAGAGTATTATACGAGCAGATCTTTATACGCATATGCCGGCCGTCATGTTATAAACAAAAATATGCCCCTACTTTATCAATCTCTTTAATAGTCATCTGACACTCGAGTGGGATGGGGGAGCCTCGGACCGCCAGGTATTCCATTATTTTTGTTTGTTTTGTGGGTTTTCGGGCCGGTGCTCAAAAGACGAAGACGTCTTAGAATTCGAGCTGAGTTTACGTCCGTGGAAGCGATTTCCGCGGTGAGGCGAGGGGAAACTGCTAAAAGGGATTCTCGGCCTGGGAAATTTTTCGAGATGTTGACGTTTTCGCTAAAAGTCGAAATTTTCAAGTATTTGTTTGAACAATTCCTCAGAATTTCTCCACAAGTTATTTTCGGCCTCTTTTTTTCGAAGATTCCTATGAGATTGTCAGAATTAAAAAAAAAAATTGTATAAAATTTTGGAAATTTTTGTCACTTTTTCGGACTTTTTCGAGAATTCCCGAAGTAGTTTTTTTTAATAGATTTCGACCTGCAACAGTTATTTTCGGCTTCATTTTTTTGAAAATTCGCACAATTTTGCCACAATAGTTCAAAATAAAAAATGTCTTAATTTTTGGATTTTTTAAAAACTCAGGTTTTTATACCGAAAATTTCTCAAATCTTGCTCCGAGAACGCGGTTTTTCGAACTTTTCAAAAACCGTAATATTTCAACTCCTTTCCAGTACAAATTTTTTCGACCTCATTTTTGTAAAATTCCTTAATTAAAAAAAAAATATTTTCCTATCGAATATTTCGCAAATCTTGGTCTGGGACCAGGGAATACTATGTTTTTTAAATGTCTCGTCGAGATATTTAAATGCTGAATGTTATAGAGTTTTAGATAAATTTTCCAAAATTTTAGCTTTTCAAAACCCCCCATATAAAATGTTTTACTCTTTTTGGAGTTTGTTGGAGAATTTCCGATTTATTCCAGATTTACAGAAGTTATTTTCGGCTTCATTTTTTTCGAAAATTCGTACGAACGTCTGAATTTTTGGATTCTTATAAAAAAAACAGGTTTTTATACCGAAAATTTCTCAAATCTTGCTCCGAGAACGCGGTTTTTCGAACTTTTCAAAAACCGTAATATTTCAACTCCTTTCCAGTATAAATTTTTTCGACCTCGTTTTTGTAAAATTCCTTAATTAAAAAAAAAAAATATTTTCCTATCGAATATTTCGCAAATCTTGGTCTGGGACCAGGGAATACTATGTTTTTTAAATGTCTCGTCGAGATATTTAAATGCTGAATGTTATAGAATTTTAGATAAATTTTCCAAAATTTTAGCTTTTCAAAACCCCCCATATAAAATTTTTTACTCTTTTTGGAGTTTGTTGGAGAATTTCCGAATTTATTCCAGATTTACAGAAGTTATTTTCGGCTTCATTTTTTTCGAAAATTCGTACGAACGTCTGAATTTTTGGATTCTTACAAAAAAAAAAACAGGTTTTTATACCGAAAATTTCTCAAATCTCGGTCCAAGACCACAAAAACGCTGTTTTTCAAACTTATCAAAAATCTCAGTTTTTTCACCCCTTTCAGTAAAATTTTTCTGAAAATTCGCCATAGAGTTTTATTTTTAATAGATTTCGATCTCCATAAGTTATTTTTTGCCTTATTCTTTCAAAGGTTCCTATGATTTTGTCAGAATTAAAAAAAAATATTTTCGTATCTTATATTTCGCAAATCTTGGTCCGGGACCACGGAGACATTACGGTTTTTAAACATCTCGTCGAGATCTACATTGCAGTATTTTATAGATTTTTAGATAACTTTTCCAAAATTTTAGCTTTTCAAAACCCTCCAGTGTGAAATTTTTACTTTTTTTCGAGTTTCTTGCAGAATTCTCGAAATAGTTTTTTTTTTTAATATATTTCGATCTGCAGAAGTTATTTTCGGCTTGATTTTTTCGAAAATTTGTACGATATTGCCATAATAGTTCAATAAAAAACGTCTGAATTTTTGGATTTTTACAAAAATCAGATTTTCATACCAAAAATTTCTCAAATCTTGGTCCAAGACCACAAAAACGCTGTTTTTCAAAATTATTAAAAATCTCAATTTTTCGACCTCTTTCCAGTAGAAATTTTTTCGAAAATTTGCCAAAAAGTTTTATTTTTAATGGATTTCGATCTCCAGAAGTTATTTTCGCCCTCATTTTTTTCAGATTGCTATGATTTTGTTAGAATTCAAAATAGATATTTTCGTATAGACTATTTCGTAAATCTTGGTCCGGGACCACAAAAACACTGTTTTTTAAAAATCTCGTCGAGATTTAAAAAAAATTATTGCAAAATTTTATAGATTTTTAGATAACTTTTCCAAAATTTTAGATTTTCAAAACACCCAGCATGAAATTTCTCTCGCTCTCTTTTTTGAGCATCTTCGAGAATTTCCGAAATACCTTTTTTTTTTATAGATTTCAATCTCCAGAAGTTATTTTTGGACTTATTTTTTCAAAGATTTCTATGATTTTGTCAGAATTAAAAACAATATATATATCTTGGTCCGGGACCCCGGAAACATGTTTTTCAAACATTTCGCCGAGATCTATATTGCAAAATTTTATAGATTTTTATTTTAGCCTTTCACCCCCCCCCCCCCCCCCATGAAATTTTTGACTCTTTTTCGAGTTTTTATGAGAATTCCCGAAATACTTTTTTTTTTAAATAGATTTCGACCTGCAGAAGTTATTTTCGGCTTCATTTTTTCGAAAATTCGTACGATTTTGCCATAATAGTGCAATAAAAAATGTTTCAAGTTTTGGATTCTTTAAAAAAATCAGGTTTTTATACCGAAAATTTCTCAAATCTTGGTTCGAGGCCACAAAAACGCTGTTTTTCGAACTTTTCAAAAATCTCATTTTTTCGGCCGCTTCTTAGTATACACTTTTTCGAAAATTCGCCAAAGAGTTTTTTTAACAGATTTCGATTTGCAGAAGTTATTTTTGGACTTATTTTTTCAAAGATTTCTATTATTTTGTCAGAATTTAAAAAAAATATTTTTGTATGTAGATATTGATCTTAGTCCGGGACCTGGGAAACATTATGTTTTTCAAACATCTCGCCGAGATCTATATTGCAAAATTTTATAGATTTTTAGATAACTTTTCCAAAATTTTAGCTTTTCAACCCCCCCCCCCCCCCCCTCCCTTCCCATGGAATTTTTGACTCTTTTTCGAGTTTCTTGGAGAATTCCCGAAATAGTTTTTTTTTTAATAGATTTCGACCTACAGAAGTTATTTCCGGCTTCATTTTTTCGAAAATTTATACGATTTTGCCATAATAGTTCAATAAAAAACGTCTGAATTTTTGGATTTTTACAAAAATCAGATTTTCATACCAAAAATTTCTCAAATCTTGGGCCAAGACCACAAAAACGCTGTTTTTCAAAATTATCAAAAATGTCAATTTTTCGACCCCTTTCTAGTACAAATGTTTTCGAAAATTTGCCAAAGTTTTATTTTTAATAGATTTCGATCTCCAGAAGTTATTTTCGGCCTCATTTTTTTCAGATTCCTATGATTTTGTTAGAATTAAAAAAATATATATTTTCGTATCGACTATTTTATAAACCTTGGTCCGGGACCACGAAAACACTATATTTTTTAAAAATCTAGTCTAGATTTTAAAAAAATTATTGCAGAATTTTTTACATTTTTAGGTGACTTTTCAAAAATTTTTGCTTTTGAAATGTTTGAAATTTTTTACTCGCTTCTTTGAGAATTCTCGAAATACTTTCTTTTTTTTATAGATTTCGATTTGCATAAGTTATTTTCAGCTTCATTTTTTCGAAAATTAGTACGATTTTGCCATAATAAGTTAATAAAAAATGTCTTAATTTTTGAATTTAAAAAAAATCAGATTTTCATACGGAAAATTTCATAATTTTGGTCCGAGGCCGCAAAAACGCTGTTCTTCGAACTTTGCAAAAATCTCAATTTTTTTTGTATGAATTTTTTCGAAAATTCGCCATTGAGTTTTTTTTTTAATAGATTTTACGGTCCCATTTTTTCGAAAAATCCTACGATTTGTTAAGACGACCAATGAAAAATATGTTAATTTTTTTTTAAATTAGGTTTTCATAATGAAAATTTTTCATATCTTGACCCAAGACTACAAAAACGCTGTTTTTCGAAATTTCAAAAATCTCAGTTTTTCAACCCATTTCCAGTACAAATTTTACCGAAAATTTGCGGAAGAGTTTTATTTTTAATAGATTTCGATCTCCAGAAGTTATTTTTGGACTTATTTTTTGAAAGATTCCTATGATTTTGTCAGAATTAAAAAAAATATTTTTGTATATAGATATAGATCTTGGTCCGGGACCCTGGAAACATTATGTTTTTCAAACATCTCGCGGAGATCTATATTGCAAAATTTTATAGATTTTAGATAACTTTTCCGACCCCTTTCCAGTACAAATTTTTCCGAAAATTTGCCAAAGAGTTTTATTTTTAATAGATTTCGATCTCCAGAAGTTATTTTCGGCTTCATTTTTTTTAAAGATTCCTATGATTTTGTTAGAAATAAAAAAATATATACTTTCGTATCTACTATTTTGTAAATCTTGGTCCGGGACCACGAAAACACTCGTCGAGATTAAAAAAAAAATTATTGCATAATTTTATACATTTTTAGATAACTTTTCAAAAATTTTTGCATTTGAAATTTTTAAAATTTTTTACTCTTTTTCGAGCTTCTTCGAGAATCCTCGAAACACTTTCTTTTTTTAATAGATTTCGATGTGCAGAAGTTATTTTCAGCTTCATTTTTTCGAAAATTAGTACGATTTTCCCATAATAGTTCAGTAAAAAATGTCTTAATTTTTGGATTAAAAAAAAAAAACAGATTTTCATACGGAAAACTTCACACTCTTGGTCCGAGACCACAAAAACGCTGTTTTTCGAACTTTACAAAAATCTCAATTTTTCCATTCCTTTCCAGTATAAATTTTTTCGAAAATTCGCCATTGAGTTTTATTTTTAATAGATTTAGATCTCCAGATTTATTTACGGCCCCATTTTTTCAAAAAATCCTACGATTTGTTAAAACGACCAATCAAAAATATGTCAGTTTTTCTAAAATCAGGTTTTCATACCGAAAATTTTTCAAATCTTGTTCCGAGACTACAAAAACGTTGTTTTTCGAAGTTTTCAAGACTCTCAATTTTTCCACCCCTTCTCACTACATATAAATTTTTTCGAAAATGCCCCAAAAAGTTTTTTGTTTAATACAATTCGATCTCCACTGGTTATTTAAGGCCCCATTTTATCAAAAATTCCTATAATTTGCAAGAACAACCAATGAGAAATATCTCAAAATTTTGAATTTAAAAAAAATTAGATCGTCATATTGAATATTTCACAAATCTTGGTACGAGACTACAGAAACGCTGTTTAAACATCCCGTCGAGATTTATGTTTCAGAATATACATAAATCATATACATTTTTAAATAACTTTTTCAAATTTTCAATATTTTAAAACTCCTCACATAAAATTTTTGACTCTTTTTCGAGCTCCTACAGAATTTCTCAGAGTTTTGTTTTAATATATACATTTCGATCTCAAAATCTATATTTCAGAATATATGTAGATTATAGAGATCTTGAAATAACTTTTTCAAAATTTCACTTTTTCAAACCTGGTTTTCGAGGAACTTTTGAAAAATCTCAATTTTTCAACCCCTTCTCGCTATACATTTTTTCGATCTCCAGAAATTATTTTCGGCTTTATTTTTTTGAAAATTGTTACGATTTTGCCATAATAGTTCAAAGAAAAATGTCTTAATTTTTTGTATTTTTTCAAAATCAGGTTACCATACCGAAAATTTCTCAAATCTTGGTTGGAGACCACGAAAACGGTGTTTTTCGAATCTGTGACGGACTTGCGGTAAATTTTCAAAAATTTCAATTTTTCCACGCCTTCTTACTACATATAAATTTTTTCGACAATTCGCCAAAAAGTTTTTTTTAATAGATTTCGATCTCCAGAAGTTATTTACGGCCATTTGCTAGAACAACCAATGAGAAATATCTCAAATTTTTGGATTTTTAAGAACTTAGATCTTCATACTGAATATTTCGCAAATCTTGGTCCGAGGCTACAAAAATCTACGAGATCTATATTTCAGAATATATGTAGATTACAGAGATTTTTTTTTCAAAATTCCAATTTTTCAAAATTTTAATTTTTAAAAATTATTTTTCGAGCTCCTTCAGAATTCCTGAAAGAGCTTTTGTTTTAATAAATTTCGATCTCCAGAAGTTAATATTGGCCTCATTTCCTCATTTTTTTGAAATTCCCATGATTTTGTTAGAACGTTCATCAAGAAATATCTCAATTTTTTTTTTAAATAGATTTAGATCTACAGAGAGTCTTTTCGGCTTCATTTTTCGAAAATTCTTACGATTTTGTCATAATAGTTCAACGAAAAATGTTGTAATTTTTTGGATTTTTAAAAAATCACCTGATTTCATACCCAAAATTTCTCAAATCTTGGTTCGAGACCTAAGAAACAATATTTTTCGAATGTATTTGTCGACATCTATGACTCAGAGTTCTTGACGAACTTTCGGTAACTCTTTAAAAATTTAAATTTTTCAACCCCTTCTCAGTATACGTTTTTTCGAAAATTCGTCAATTTTTTTTAAAGAGATTTCGATCTCCAGAAGTTATTTACGGCCTTGTTTTTTAGAAAAATCCTAAGATTTGCTGGGACGACCAATGCGAAATATCTCAATTTATTGTATTTTCAAAAAATTAGATATTCGTACTGAATATTTCGCATATTTTGGTCCAAGACTATAAAAAGGCTATTTTTTTCTCGTCCAGATCTATATATATATTTCAGAATACATATGTAGATTTTTAAATAACTTTTTCAAAATTGTAATTTTTCAAACCTCCCCACATGAAATTTTTGACTTTTTTTCGAGCTCCTTCAGAATTCCACAAGGGTTTTTTAAAACGATCAACGAGAAATATCTCAATTTTTCTTTTTTTTAGTGGATTTCGATCTGTAAAAGTTATTTTTGAATTCATTTTCCCGAAAATTCCTACGATTTTGCCATAATACTTCATTGGAAAATGTCTTATTCTTTTAGATTTTCAAAAAATCAGGTTTTCATACAGAAAATTTCTCAAATCTTGGTCCAAGACCACTGGAACGCTATGTTATTCGAATCTGTTCGTCCACATTCATAACTCAAGAGCTTTTTAGAGATTTTCGGTAGCTTTTCCAAAATCTCAATTTTCAACCCCCAACCAGTATAAATTTTTTCGAAAATTCGTCAACGAATTTTTTTTTAATACATTTTTATCTCCACAAGTTGTATTCGAATTTGCTCGTCGACATCTATGACTATGAGTTCTTCAGGGACTTTAGGTAACTTTTCAAAAATCTCAATTTTTCAACCTCTTCTCAATATAATTTTTTTCGAAAATTCGCCAAAGAGTTTTTTTAAAATAGATTTCGATCCCAGAACTTATTTTTTTGAAAAATCCTATAATTTGCTAGAACGATCAATAAGAAATATCTAAATTTTTTGGATTTTTACAAAACTAGATTTTCATACTGAATATTTTGCAAATCTTGGTCCGAGACTACAGAAACATTATGGTTTTTAAACATTTCATTGAGGTCTATATTTCAGAATATATGTAAATTATCTAGATTTTTAAATAAGTTTTTCAAAATTTCTATTTTTCAAAGTTCCAATTTTTCAAAATTTCAATTTTTGAAAATTTTAATTTTTAAAAATTGTTCTTCGAGCTCTTTCAGAATTCCCCAAAGAGTTTTTTAAAATACATTTCAACCTCTTGAAGTTAATATTGGCATCATTTCTTCATTTTTTCGAAAATTCCTATGATTTTGCTAGAACGATCGATGAGAAATATCTCAATTTTTGTTTTTTTTTTAACAGATTTTCATCTACAGAAAGTAATTTCGGCTTCACTTTTTCGAAAATTCCTAGGATTTTGTTATAGGTAATAGTTCAATGAGAAGTGTCTTAATTTTTTGGATTTTTAAAAAATCTGGTTTTCATACCGAAAATTTCTCAGATCTTGGTTCGAGACCACGGAAACTGTGTTTTTCGTATTTACTTGTCGACATCTATGACTCAGAGTTCTTCACGGACTTTTGGTAACTTTTCAAAAATCTCAAATTTTCAACCCCTTCACAGTATAATTTTACTATTGTTTTTACTATTTTTCCAAGAGTATCGAAAGGTTTAGTATTTTAGTATTTTAAATGGATTCGTCCAGACGTCTGCGACGTTTCATTACTGTATTCTTCTCAAACTATTTTCACTCTACTATATTCTTTTATAAGTTTCAGTTCCGTTGGATTATTATCGGTAAGGTAAATTCTGACTTAAGAGTTTTTTTTGTCTTTTACCTTATATTGTCTGCTTAAACTCCAAGTGTCTCCAACTTTCCAGACTTGTTGTCATGGGGATTCTACTCCCAAGCGATTTTCTTTGTTAAAACAGCTTCCATCAATTTTTTTATTCCTCTTATTTTTCTTTATTGAAAAGTTCTTATAAATTACTCTGGAGACTTGACATTCAAATTCAATGTCCAAAAATAACTTCACGTCTTTTAATTTTTTCTAACTCAGTCATCTCGGAATTTTCCTTTGTACGAGACCTTTTCACCGCATCGCACAAAATTGTTATTTGTCCGCTACGCAAGAAACGGGAAAGCATAACCTCAAAAAATAGACACGCAAATCCCCGGAACATCCTGTGCACTTCCTCCATCTTTTTTATCTTCGAACCATGACCGTTTGTTAAACGAATTGCTCTTAAACCCTACTTCAAATCGACCTCCCTTTATCCGCAGATTTCCCACAATTTTATTTATATCTTCCACTTCTGACTTACTTAATTGACTCTAAATCCGCAATTTATGGAAAAGCAACCTTCATGAACTCTACTTTTTCCACCGAAACATTCAAACCGAAATTAAAAATTAAAAATTTCGTTTAACGAAATGGAATGTACACAGCGCTGCGTCAATAGTTGACTGCATATTTCCCTCGAAATGTTTATTATTAATTTCGCAAAAATGTGCTAAAAAATTCTCCACCCCTTACTTGTCGGCATCGCGATCCCGTATCCCTTCGTATCCAGCCGATTCCCGACTTGCACCAGCTCGCAGTGCTTCTCGATTTCGTACTCGATGGACGAGCTCTCCATCAGGAAGGCGTACGAGCCCTTGCTGGAGATCACCCTCTTGACGCCGTCGTCGTTGGTGGTCTCGAAGACGCTGGGCTCCGCCGTCTCCATGCTCACCCACATCTTGTGGTACGTCGTGACGTTGGTGTCCCTGAAGAACGCCGCCGTGGCGCCGTCTTTGACGCAGCCGTATTTGATCTTGGTCTGGGCCGCCAGGTCCTCGGCGCTCTTGATGGTCGGACCCATGCGCTCCTGGGTGAGGAAGGCCGCCAGGTTGGCGGTGTAGCAGGAGATCATAATGAGGGTGAAAAACCACCACATGCCGGTGACCATCCGGGTGGAGATGCCCCTGCAGATAAATTTATAAACGTTGTTATTGATTTAAAGAGGGGATAGAGAAGGTTTCACATTGTAAAAAAAAACATTTGGCGCTCCGAGAAGGTTTTACATTTAAAAATAAATACAATTGGGACCTCCGAGAAGGTTTCACATTTTCAAAAAAAGACATTAGGCACCCCCGAGAAGGTTTTACATTTTTAAAGATGACGGTTGAGAACTCCGAGAAGGTTTCACATTGTAAAAAAAAACACATTTGGCGCCCCGAGAAGGTTTTACATTTAAAAACAAATACAATTGGGACCTCCGAGAAGGTTTCACATTTTCAAAAAAAGACATTAGGCACCCCCGAGAAGGTTTTACATTTTTAAATATGACGGTTGAGAACTCCGAGAAGATTTCACATTGTAAAAAAAAACATTTGGCGTACCGAGAAGGTTTTACATTTAAAAATAAATGGAATTGGGACCCCCGAGAAGGTTTCACCTTTTCAAAAAAAGACGTTGGGCGTCCCCGAGAAGGTTTTACATTTAAAAACAAATACAATTGGGACCTCCGAGAAGGTTTCACATTTTCAAAAAAAGACATTAGGCACCCCCGAGAAGGTTTTACATTTTTAAATATGACGGTTGAGAACTCCGAGAAGATTTCACATTGTAAAAAAAAACATTTGGCGTACCGAGAAGGTTTTACATTTACAAATAAATGGAATTGGGACCCCCGAGAAGGTTTCACCTTTTCAAAAAAAGACGTTGGGCGTCCCCGAGAAGGTTTTACATTTTTAAATATGACAGTTGAGAACTCCGAGAAGGTTTCACTTTGTAAAAAAAAACATTTGGCTCCCCGAGAAGGTTTTACATTTAAAAATAAATACAATTGGGACCCCCGAGAAGGTTTCACATTTTCAAAAAAAGACATTAGGCGCCCCCGAGAAGGTTGTACATTTTTAAAAAAGACAGTTGGGACATCCGAGAAGGTTTCACATTCTAAAAAAAATACATTTCGCGCCCCGAGAAGCTTTGACAATTAAAAAAAAATAATTGGGACCCCCGAGAAGGTTTCACATTTTTAGATATGACAGTTGAGAACTCCGAGAAGGTTTCACACTGTAAAGAAAACATTTGGCGTCCCGAGAAGGTTTTATATTTAGAAATAAATACAAGTGGGACCCCGAGAAGATTTCATATTCTTAAAAAATATATTTGGCGCCCCCGAGAAGGTTTCACATTTTTGTAAAAGAAATTGGGACCCCTGAAAAAGTTTCACATTCTTAATATTCTTAAAATTTTTAAAACTGAGAAATTTTAAACTGAAATGTAAAAAAACTGCCAACCGAAAAATTGTGAAAGTGGAAAATTGAAAAAACAAAATTAAAATATCAAAAATGGAAACTCTCAAAATGTGAAAAATCGAAACACTGAGAAATTTTAAATTGAAAACTCGATAAATTGCAAATCAAAAAATTAAAATAAAAAATTGAGAAACAAAAATGAAAAACTTAGAAAATCTTTAAAATTCGAAAAACTCAACTGTTGAAAAAATGAAAAATTCTGAAACTGCAAAAAATAAAGAACGAAAAATTGAAAAACCAAAAACATTTTAAAAATTGTAGATTTTCAAAAGCGAAAAACACAAAAATCAAAAAAATTTAAATTGGAAACTCAAAAAATTGCAAATTGAAAGTTTGTAAAATCGAAAAACAAAAAATCTAAAAATCGGGAAACCGTAAAATTGAGGAATTGCTGCAAATTTGAAAACTGGAATATTAAAAAACTAAAAAATTAAGAAATTAAAATTCACTACAAATTGCAAATTAAAAAATTATAAAACAAAAACCGAAAAATTGAGAAGTTGTAAAATCGAATTGAAAAAACAACTTAAAACATCAAAAATGGAAATTTGCGAAAAATTGAAGAATTTTAAATTGCAAATTTGAAAAATCATAAATTGAAAAACTTTAAAATCTTCAAAAACTCAAAAATTTTAAATTGAAAACTCAAAAAATTAAAATGTCTATAAATTGAATAAAGCAGTACAAATTGCAAATCAAAAAATTATAAAATTAAAATCGAAAAACTTTCGAAAAATTTGTGAAAGGAAAACATTGAGGAAACAAAAACTGAAAAAATTGAAAAAATTTGAAATTGAAATATTGAAAAAAAGAAAACTTAAAATATCAAAAATGGAAACTTTCGAAATTTGAAAAAGAGAGAAACTTAAAAAATTTAGATTGAAAATTTGAAATATTGATAAAACCAAAACTTGTGTAATCGAAAAATTTAAGAAGCGAAAAATAGAAAAATCGAAAAATTGTGAAGGTTGAAAATTAAACAATGTTCAAATTTTTAAAACTTGGAAATCGAAAAATTGGAAAATTTTAAAGGAAAACTCAAAAATTGCGAAATAACAATCGAAAAATTGGGAGTAAAAGTAATAAATTTAACAATCCTTAAAAATGAAAAAATTGGAATATTGTAAAACCAAAAATCCAAAAAAAAAAATAAAATTCGAACATTTCAAGTTAATAAATCCAAAAATTGAAAAATTTTAAATTGAACAAATCAAAAATTTGGAAATTCGAATAGCTAAACATCTAAAAATTGTGAAGTCGTAAAATCGAAAAATAAAGATTTTTTAAATATTCAAAAAGTGAAATATTAAAAAGCGAAAATTAGTAAAATTTAAAAATCGAAGAAACGGAAAATTAGAAAAAAGAAAAATTACAACATATTTAAAAGTTAAAAAATCGAAAAATAGGAAAGTTTTAAATTGAAAACTGAAAAATCAAAAATCGAAAACCAAAAAGTAACTAAAATTCTAACATTTCCAAAGTTAATAAAATTAAAAATAGAAAAATTTTAAATGGAACACTCAAAAAATTGCAAATCGAAAATTTGGAAAATCGAAAAACTAAAAATCTAAAAATTGTGGAATCCTAAAATCGAAAAATGAAGACTTTTATGCAAATATTAAAAAGCGAAAAATAGTAAAATTTAAAAATTGAAGAAAGAGCAAATAGGAAACAAGAAAAATTAAAATACTTATTTAAACTGAAAAATTCAGAAGTTAAAAAATTGAAAATTTTTAAATCAAAAACTCGAAACACTGCAAATGAAAAAATGTGAAATAAAGATCGAAAAATTAAGAAAATGTATTTTTAAAAATTCTGAAGTTTTCTGATATTTTTAAAAATACTGAAAAATTGTCAAAGCAAAAAACTGAAGAAACGGAAGACTGAAAAATCCAAAATGAGCAAAAAATTAATTTTTTATTCGTTACTCCAATTTTTCAAAATTTCAGTTTTAATAAATTATTGTAAAGGGAGTTACTTACTGAAAAAACGATTGAGATATTGAAAAAATGGAAAATCCTGAAATTGAAAAATATAAGAAACTTGAAACACTGAAAAATAAAAAATACTAAAAATTGAATATTTCAAAAGTTGAAAAATCCAAAAATTAAATTTTAAATGGCAAACTCAAAATTGCAAATCCAAAAACTCCAGAATTTTTAAAAAATCAGATATTAAAATATTGAAAAACTACGAAAGCAAAACATGGAAGAAACCAAAAACTGAAAAATCAAAAAATTGGGGAGGTGAAAAACTGAGAAACTGAAAACTCGAAAAATTGCAAATCAAGAAACTATAGAATAAAAATGGAAAATTGAGATATCATAAAAATGAAAAACTTAAAAATCTGTCAAATTGAAAATTCGAAATAAACGAAAAAAAAAATTGTGAAATCGAAAAATTTAAGAAACGAAAAACTAGAAAATCAAAAAAATCGGAAAAAGAAAAAAATGCTATAAATTGAAAATCCAAAAATTAAAAAAAATTAATCTAAAACTCAAAACGTGCAGATCGAAACTTTGTAAAATCGGAAACAGATTCTGAGTTTCCCTTTTTACAAATTTGAAAAATAAAGAAGTTTTAAAATTTCGAAAAATTGCAAATCAAAAAATTTGAAAAATAAAAATTGAAAAACTAAAAACAGAAAAATTGTCAAATCGTAAAACCGAGAAATTTTAGATGTTTTTAAATTCAAAAATTGTGAAAGCAAAAAATTGAAGAAACGAAAAACTGAAAAATTGAAAAATTAAAAAATAAAAATATTAAAATATTAAAAACTGAAAAATTCAAAGGGACAAAATTAAAATCTGGAAAAACTGCAAATCAAAAAATTGTGAAAGGGAAAAATTGAAAAAGCATAAAATTAAAATACCTGTCAAAAATGGAATCTTTCAAAATCTGAAAAATCCAAAAACAATAATTTTAAATTGAAAACTATAAACATTGTAAATAAAAAAATTGCAAAATACAAATCAAAAATTGAGAAAACATAAAAGTGAAAACCGATCTATTGGATATACGAAAAATTGAGAAATCGAAAAATTTACGGAACGAAAAACTGAAAAGTCAAAAAAATCGAAAAATTGGAAAATTTTAAAAGAAAACTCGAAAAATTGCGAAATAACAATCGAAAAATTGGGAAGTAAAAGTAATAAATTTAACAATCCTTAAAAATTAAAAAATTGGAATATTGTAAAACCAAAAATCCAAAAAAAAAAAATAAAATTCGAACATTTCAAGTTAATAAATCCAAAAATTGAAAAATTTTAAATTGAACAAATCAAAAATTTGGAAAATCGAATAGCTAAAAGTCAAAAAATTGTGAAGTCGTAAAATCGAAAAATAAAGAATTTTTAAATATTCGAGAATGTTTTATAATTTTAAAAAAGGGAGTTGGGACCTCAGAGAAGGTTTAACATTCTAAAAAAAACATTAGGCGCTCCGAGAAAGTTTTACATTAAAAAAAAAATACATTTGGGACCCCCAAGAAGGTTTCACATTTATAAAAAATACTATTTGGCGCCCCCGAGAAGGTTTAACATTTTTAAAAAGACATTAGGCGCCCCCGAGAAGGTTTTACATTTAGAAATAAATACAATTGGGACCCCGAGAAGATTTCATATTCTTAAAAAATATATTTGGCGCCCCCGAGAAGGTTTAAC